TCTTTGTTATGACTCTTGACTTGTGACAGTGAACTGAATATCCTTTGGTTGTGGACAAAACGAGACATTTGATCAATGTTTTTCATCGTTTTCTGACATTTTCTGGACCAAACAATTAAACAATTAGTCAAGAAAAATGATCGACAGATTAATCAATACTGAAAATAATCATTAGTTGTAGAACTACTTTGTCTTACTGTTTCTATTTTGACCCCACAAACACCCTCACCCTTATTAACCCTAGTATGTTTAAGATCTACCCTTCTACCTTCTAATGTTATATACTCTGATGTAACAGATACTTGCAGGTACGCTATGTAGTGCCCACTTTTTAATTTCAGCTGAATTTAAATGTTTTATTTCAACCCCTCTTTAACTTAGAGCTGCAACAATCAGTCGATCTCCAGCTATTTTGATGTTGAATTAAGCAGTTTGAGTCATGTTTCTTCAGTCCTCTTTGACAACAAACTGAATTTGATCAACATTTTTTACCATTTTCTTGACCAAACAACTAATCGATTAATCAAGAAAATTATCTATGGATTGATTTATTGATAATAAAAAATAATCATCAGTTTAGCCATATTTTAACTGCATCTTGTCTAATTTGACCCCACAAACCCCCTCACCCCCGTTAACCAGGGTATGTTTAAGATCTACCCGCTGCCGGACGACCCCTCCACTCCCACTCCCCCCAGACAGTTCAGAAAGCTTCCTCCCAATGGCATCGAGGACTGTTTGGTCCGAATCTACATCATCCAGGCTCACAGTCTGCAGCCCAAAGACGCCAACGGGAAGGTAGGAAGGAAGGAGGAGACACTTTCATGATAAAATTGAATAGACTACAACCCTGAGGATGCTAAAACGAAAAGACACGGATGAATTAATGGATATTATACACTTGATTTGTATCAACTTTTTGTGGTAATGATCAGGAAAGAAAAGAACAATTGAACAATTAAATAAAATAAAAACCAATGTAAACTAAATAAAACTTTGTGTTTTCAGTGTGACCCCTACGTGAAGATCACTTTGGGGAAAAAGACCATAAACGACCATGAAAACTACATCCCCTGCACTCTGGATCCTGTCTTTGGAAAGTACGTAACCTTCAGCCTTTGAGCTCTCTGTCTGACTGTGGCTGAAACCAAAAGTTCAGACTTCGCTGAACTCGTAGACTCTACAGGCATGTTCCCGGGAGAGAGCCCAGTCCATCTCACATCGCATTTTATCCCCAGCGTCCTCGCAGACGTGACATGAACACGTCATGTAACATATAAACAAAGTCCACATGGGATTAGTCTGCATTTTCAGATGGTGATCGTTTGGACGCCTGTTTTCTTGTTTTCTTTTGTAAAATGATGACTCACGGTGTTGTGTTTTGCTCTTTTGCTCTTGTACATCTTGTGTTTCTCTAAAGCTGATTTCCTCGGACTGAAATCTGTATCTTTTATCAAACTGTGAAGCGGTTTTAGCTTCCAGTTTGTCAAAATAACTTCACAGAACACAACTGAAACACTCCATTTGGTAACATTCGGGGAAATTAACTCATAGCTATGCCTGGATGAACCTACAGAAATGATTTTATTATTATTTTTGGGCCTTGGGTTTGGCCAGTTTTGTGCGGAGGTCATGTTTAAGTTACAACCAGGTGTTTTAGTGGTGCGTATCTCCGTTCCCTCCAGCCCCTGAAAGTCTGGGGCCCCAAGGAAAACCACCTGTTACCTTGCAGGTTTTTGGCTTCGCGCTCCTCTGAGGTCTTGCTTTATGTTTAACCCTGTCACATATAATTGTGGGTTTTAGTTGGAGAAACTGGGGCTGCCACACTGCAGAAAACTCTCATCCTCATTCAACATGTTAAATGATGGGTGGATTTTCTATTTCCAGCCTAAACACATTACTCAGGTTGAAACTAAGGCAATCTTTTCCACGAAGACGTCACATAATGTACAGTGAAACCAAGAGCATGATTGACTGCACCCTGGAATTCGACAAGCTGACAGGTTTAACTCGCGCTCTTTAATATGTTAGTCGCAATGTGATCACTTTTCTTTCTCATTCTCTTCATTGTTTCTTTCTGTCTTTCTCTCCCTCTGAGTTTTTTTTCGTTTCTCACACCAGTAGGGGTCGCTACACTCACAGCAATCACAGCATCAGGACAGAGTGAGGCACGTCAGAGGTCAGACTAAACTGCTCTCAGTGGCTGGCTGAACGAACAGTCCTACACAAAACTCCCGACATTAAATTTTTTATGTTCTTGACCTCAAGTTTTCAGAGGTCAAATTCACCTGGACATAAACCATTTCTTGTTTTCATTATACAGTCCATTACAATATCACTATAGAGAGGAATGGAAGAGATTTCTTAGTATTCTCTTTCTTCTTGTTTTTTTTTCTGACATTACAAAACAGAATCTCTATTAAAATGTGATTATGCTTCAAGTTAAGGAACTAATGTGAGTCAAATGGGACGGATTGTTGTCAGAATATACAGTCATCTAATCAAAAAGAGCTAGAACTTTCAATATGACTACCCAAAGGAGTTAAGGAGGCCTTGTTGTATCACATTACTAAATTTTACATCAAAATGTTTTAAAATCCTGTCACATCGCAGTCTTTAACGTCACAAAATGTCCTATTGAACCATTTCCCAAAGTGTTACATCACAACATGTCACAAACACCATGTCACAAGAAATTTAATGTGATGTTACATCTCATCCCGTCAAGTGACGTCAGATAGAGTTATGTCACATCATGTCATAAATTGCCCTGTCAGATGACACACCACTTTGTCAAATAACGTCACGTCACTTTTCGTCATGTCTTGTCAAGTGAAAGACATAATGATATTTTTCTGTCATTATTTACATACAGTCAGATGTCAGATCTTGGCACTGGAAGGACGTGATCAGAGATCTGACTGTTTTCATTCGGTTGTCGCCTCTTTTTCTTTCAGGATGTTCGAGCTCACCTGTTCCCTCCCTCTAGAGAAGGACCTTCGGGTGATGCTGTACGACCACGACATGCTGACCAAAGACGAGAAGATCGGAGAGACGGTGATCGACCTGGAGAATCGCTTCCTGTCCAAATATGGGGCCATGTGTGGCCTGCCGCAGTCCTACTGCGTGTGAGTAGACGCTAAAAAACTCACATCTTCATTTATTCTTAAAATCCAACGAGTTAGAAGAATATTGTCTATTTTTTAATATTTGTTTAAATATCTTATTTATTTTTTACTTTTACTTAAGCATGGCATTAATTATAAATTGCTATATTACTATTATTACTTTTTAGGATCAACCAGGAAAGTAGTTTCTTCCTCTGCCCCCCTCTCTTTTTCACACAGTCTCTGTGTCTGTCTGTCGCCCATTAGATCGGGGGTAAACCAGTGGCGAGACCAGCTCACACCCAGGCAGCTGCTGTACAGAGTGTGTGAGCGACGAAACCTCCCAAAGCCAATCTACCAAGAAGACGTGGTCCACTTTAGAGGAGACCAGTACTCCACTGTGGACCTTGGTGAGTGACAAATGCTCAGAAATCATCAAAAATAAATCCTAAATATAAATACAAATTAATGTCATAGTACCTCCCAGTGTGCTCTGCTGGCTTTTGTTCGGAGGTCTCGAGAGGGAGGGAGCTAGCAGAATTAAAGTGTCTAGTTACACTAAACAAGTAGCTTTAATTTCTGAGGACAACCACTTCAAATGAACACAGGATAATCTCAGATATTGACTTTTGTGGGTTGAATAATTTTAATGTTTGTCCTCTCTCACTTGTTTTGTCTTTTGAAAAAATAAAATACAGACAAAAACAATGAAACAACAAAACAAAAATGAATAAAAATGTAATAATACATGTGGTGTGTTGTACCTTTAAAGCCACTGTAAATCGAAAACAACACTAGCGAGAGAGTGAGAGGCTGGAAAGTGCAGGGTAGTTCGATTAAAGCATCACTGGCGCCACTGAACACGCACGCCCTTCAATGCTGATTGCCTCAGACTCCATCAGACCTTCCACCATTAAAAAAGAGTCACTTTAATGAAAATAAAAACTGCACAGACTTATATCATCCACATATCCGTTTGTGTGGTTGTGTGTTTGTGTGTTTAAGTGTGTGCTTAGTTGTTGCACGTTCAGTAAATTCACAGCATATAAATCACTCTGCACTGTACTCCCACTCCACCCATATCTCCCTCTCTCTTCTGTTTTGCTTTTTCTTTTCCAGTTTTAAACCGTTTTCTGTTTCATTTTCTCTTTCTTCCACTCCTCCCTCGCACTTTTTCCTCCTCTTTCTCCTCCTAATCCCCCCTTCATTTCCCTTATCCCACTCTACACACACACCTCCTTTTTCTCTCAATGTTTTACCCACACTGCTCCTTTCTTTCCTCCTCTGTCTTCCATCTTTCTCCTTTGATTTGATTATTATTAGACGACTTGAGGTCATGTTTATGGTATTTACGTGATCCTTTTTTGTATGTCTACAGTAGATTTACGATTAATCACACAAGTTTTGACCCAGGTTACATAAGGGGAAACTGGGCAGCTGTTTGCGTGTTCTTTAAGTTGGCGCCTCGTGATTAGGTAATAATGTTGGTGGGCCCTATGATTTCAGTTCCCAAAATGCTTTAGTGGTGTAGACAGTCTTAACGAACATATTTACAATTAATTAAATCAGCACAAACTAATTTCCACATGGTGAAGCGGGTTGGCGCACCAGCTTTGCTTTTAGTCTTTAATCCCTGAGGTGGAAGAGTTGGCGTGTATTGATGAGAAGTTTAATAAGAGTCAGCAAATAAATCATAACATACATGAAGCATGAGGCTTAAACGTCCGCTGAAGGGATGAAAACAGCAGATCTGTGTGGAGCGAGGCAAGAAGTTCAAACAAACTCAAATTTCTATCTTATTT